GTGGTGCCAGACTGTGATGCCTGTTGGCTGTGCAGCTGCTGAAGCTTCATATTCATGACTTCCACAACAGCTGTTGGAGGCAGATGAAACTTGTATTAAATGCATTTATGATTTGTGCAGGGGTTTTGTAAAAGATAAAAGTAAGTGAAATCACCTTGTTTCATAGCATGTTTTTCTTGAAGGGCAGGCTGAATTTTCTCAATTTGTTTTGTAAGGAAGTCGATTTTGCGCTTAAAGAACTCTTTGCCATCCTCGACATTCTGAAAAGACCAAAAAAATAGTGACATTTATTTGGAAATGTTTTCAAACTATTATAGAGATATGCAAAATCTTGGCTCACCTTCTCCACAAAATAACCTGTTCCAACATCCACTAAGACATGATCCACATCATTCAGTTTTCCAGGCACATACATCTGCAATTAAGGGATGTTAAGGGAACATCTTATCTGAGATTAATACAAATGAATTACATAAACACCAAACTGTGGGACTTTTTGAGGGTCTGATGATGGATTGATACTTTCTGAGACAACATTAATCAATCATCACTCAGCTGAGCTGTTGAAAGGATACAGAACTGGTGAGTGGGACAAGGAGTTCTTTTCCTGAGGGGGAAAAAAGTTAAATGAATTCAGTGAACAGATTAGATTTAGCTAAAGATGTAACAGTGGAATAAATCAATTTATTTAAAATGAGCATCATATAAAGTATAGCAGTAATACTCACCTTCGTTGCTTTTGTTAAGTACATTCAAACTGTCTTTGGCCTCCACATATTTAGTTTGGACGACTTTCAACTGGCCTATGGATGATTACAGGAACTCTGTTTCCTAGAAAACAAATTCATGTCATTTTGTTTAACATGGCTTCGATAAATTGCAGTTTACTAGGGGGGGGGAAATAGAAAAAACGTTTATTCTGTGCAGATTTGTCCTATCCTAGCAAAACAAAAAGTAATAAAAAAATTAAATTAAATTTGTTTCTGTATTTATACTAAAAATACACAAGAAATAATTTTGCTCATTATATATTCGTAAAAAAAAATTTTAAAGGAAAAGAAAGGCCAAACATTTTTACTCTGTCATAATTGACAGTCACCATTCGGTTTCATTCCATACTATGCAAATGAATGGTGACTGTGGCTGTCATTCTGCGTCTCATTTTGGGTTTCATGGAGCATCATATAAAGTATAGCAGTAATACTCACCTTCGTTGCTTTTGTTAAGTACATTCAAACTGTCTTTGGCCTCCACATATTTAGTTTGGACGACTTTCAACTGGCCTATGGATGATGACAGGAACTCTGTTTCCTAGAAAACAAATTCATGTCATTTTGTTTAACATGGCTTCGATAAATTGCAGTTTACTAGGGGGGAAAAATAGAAAAAACGTTTATTCTGTGCAGATTTGTCCTATCCTAGCAAAACAAAAAGTAATAAAAAAATTAAATTAAATTTGTTTCTGTATTTATACTAAAAATACACAAGAAATAATTTTGCTCATTATATATTCGTAAAAAAAAATTTTAAAGGAAAAGAAAGGCCAAACATTTTTACTCTGTCATAATTGACAGTCACCATTCGGTTTCATTCCATACTATGCAAATGAATGGTGACTGTGGCTGTCATTCTGCGTCTCATTTTGGGTTTCATGGAAGTCGTACGGATTTATAAGAAAAAGAATGTTTGTATATAATGACATAATATTGAAATGTGGCTGAAGTATCGGTTTAATGGTGAATTACAGAGCACAACCAGCAGCACGCGTACAGACAGCATGACAGCCGCTGCGTGAAATTTACTAAACCACAGACTGATTAAATCAGAGCATATTGCCATACAAAATGAAATGAGGAAATTGTTACATTTATAACACAATTTACCTGATCAAGCTGAGTTTTCAGACCTTCTAATTGTGGAAGAGACAATTCAGTTAGATTCACCGCCATGTTGACAATAGGGAGAGGTAAGATTCCGGGTCAACCGGACACAACTGGAAGGACTTTTAGCAACGGTTTTGTATTTCAATAAACATCATTCAACAATATTTTAAAAACAAATGCAAAAAATTTATTATTAAAATACTCTGTAAAGCTCACACATATTCTTGATGGCTTTTTGTCTTTAATAATGTCAGTTAAAAGACTGGATTCACCCCGTAACACCATACAATGCATCAAGTATTTTACTTTTATGCACATGGTATTTTACCAAAATTATATCTAGATTTTACAACAAAAGTAATGTGGTTTTTAAATACACTTATTTATGGAAGCCCAAAATGTAACTAGGGGTGAATCAAAGAAACCAAGGTCAATAATTGAAAAACATAAATTAGTTAAAAAATCGAATTAATCTTTCAATTAATATTTTTCTTTTCTCACACCCATCACTGGGCCTGCTCCTGCACACATATCAGAGAAACATCT